CCCCCCCCCTCTCTCCTGTATACAGGTGGTATTTAGATTATATATAGGCATTTTTCAGCAAAAATTGAAGCTAAACTAGGCAGATTAAAAAATATTATTATGTAAATAGGGGGCGAACGTCAGCGAGCGAGCTCCCGGAGCTTCGGCTCAGCCGATCCAGACGTTGGAACGGCTGAGTCGAACTCCTTCTGCACTTTGGCTCAGCCAAACATGCTGAGCGTGTTTGGCTGAACCGAAGCCAGCCAAAGCAAGCCGATGTACGGGCTGAAATCAGCTGTACAGCGTTCGGCTCACTTCACTTCGGGTGGGTTATTCACTCGGCTGCCTTCAGCAGCTTTGTGAATAACCCTTGTCGCAGACGCCGCTGGTCTCTCTCTCTCTCTGCAATGTGAAGCTGCTGCACGCTGGGTCCTTACGCCTGAGGCCCCCAGGGCCGCCCCATTACTGCCCTTAAATCTTTCATTCGCCGGCCCGCCTCGTCACTGCCTGGCGCCCCAGCTTGGAGAAGTGCACAGATGGACATGTGCGACAAGTTGTACAAAACTTCATTGTGTTTGAACTTTCCCAGGAGGACCTCTCTCTCTCTCCTATGTGCTTACCTTGGTTCATTTTCACACGCTCAGTGCTGCAGCTGATTTTCCCGTATATAACTTTACCTGAGACCTGGGTGACATCCAAGTGTATATTACACACCTGCCATCAATAGGTGAGTCATGGAGTCTTCTTAATATGAGGCCTACTTGGCCCCACATGTGGTGGTCACCCAATGTCTTTGAGCTGACACGCATCTTCATAGAATGCTTACATATAACGGCCCCAATCCTCCCACTGTAGTAGAGCAATAGAGGTCCTGTTTTATGATTGGAGGAAATATTTCTCCAAATCAGGAGAAAGGGTGGCTGTGGCTGGTTTGGTGAAGGTATCTTGTGAAGCAGGATTGCTATATAGCAACTGATGCATCAGCCATTCTTCATCAATGTAAGCCTGATCTACAAGGACATGGTTTATAATAACACACATCTTCCACCATCAGTTTCCTTTGTGGCTCTTGGCATTTGGTCACATGACCTCCCAGCACTGCAAAGGAAGTCAATGCTGGAAGACTTCACCTCCAGGTACTGTTATCTCAGGTCTGAACAGGGAGCCGGTTTTTAGGTTTGGGGCTGCCCTAGGCAAGACAAAACTGGGGCGCCCCCCCCCCTGATTTCCATTGAAGTCCTGAGTCAGCTCTGCCCGTGTATCATGTCACTCCACCCCTTACATGCAGCTACATATTTAAGTCCTATATTTAATTTAATTGCCAGAAAGCATTTCCTGTCTGAGAGCGAAGGAATGAACTGATATATTTCATCACCTGGAGTCACCAAACCAGCACATTACAGGTGAGGTCTACTATCTTGTCTTTGACTTGTATAGTATATTGTAATGTATACTATGATAGAACCCAATGCATGAGGCTGGTGAGTCAGAATTCTATATGATCCGGGCTCTGCAGGTTATTGAAGTGCAGTATATCCCAGAATAGAAATACCAGAACACAGCATTTCAATCAAACTCTCCATTTAGAAAAAGACATTTGGCTCATAAAACAATGCTGACATTACAATTGGAAGATGGAAGTAAAATCTTATACACTGGAATGAGGGAAGCTGGGGAATCATGAGGTTTACTACTGCAGACTGCACATTATTATATTTAATTTGTTTAATTCATTACTTAAAGGGTCAGTCCATCCAAATCTGGCATTTTAGGGGGGTGGTGTGCTGGCTCTAGTCTTCGGCTACTTGGGCAGCACAGTGGCTAGCAGTGAGGGTCCCCGGTTCGAATCCCAGTCTGGACACTGCCTGCAAGGAGTTTGCATGTTCTCCCTGTGCCTGCGTGGGTCTCCTCTAAGTACTCCAGTTTCCTCCCACACTGCAAAGACACGCTGGAAGGGTAATTGGCTCCTGTGTATGCATGTGCGATAGGGACCTTAGATTGTAAGCTCCTTGGGACTGATGTGAATGTGCAACTATGTAAAGCGCTGCGTAAATTGTAGGCTATAGAAAATACATACAGGTGTCATTTTGGTTTGTTTCTTTCTGGGGCTCCCGTGGTGACATGTGTTCATGGGATTGATCATTGATATCAGAACCATACAAATTATTTAATTTTCTCGGTCCGGCTGCCAATTGGAGTTAATCGCGGATCCACTTTGAACATCCGAGTGCCTTTCCACTGATTTGTCCATCACAACCTGTAAATTAGAGTCTTATTTTTCCACCATGGCTTCGTACATTGACTCCAGCTACTGCCATCTGCTTTATTACATACAATATATATATATTAGGGGCGCACCGATACCAAGTACCGTGCTCGGTGCAATTACAGATACTTTTCCGGCTCCAAGACTAGACTAGAGAAAAATTCAAAAGTTAGGAGGCGGTTGTCACGTGTAAGGAGCACACGGAGGTCCCGGGATTTGTACATCTCTGTTATAATTTGTGGTCAGAGTTACTTCGGTTTCCGAATCTTCATGACCCCTACTGATACCAACCTGATGTGTGCCATGATTTTGTGGTCAGCATGCCAAATAAGTGGGCACGCTCTAGTGAAATGATAGAACCTGGGGAAGGGCGGGCGGGTCAAGCGCGACCTCGCCGTGACGTCTCTAGGAGCTCCCTGTCCCCCTTCTATTTTATTTTTTAACGTACAACAATCCAAAATGAACACAAATCCAAATTAAATAATCCAAAATGGCGAAGTTAAGAATAGGGTGATCAGGGCCGTACCTTTCCAAGAGCAATTTTGTAACCAATCGCTGGCCAGAATGAGCGAAGCGCGCTTTCACTAAGGATTCCTCACAGGCGGAGCGCATTTGGTATGACTCCGCCTGTGACAGGAGCCGGCGCTGTAGAGGAGGCATCGGCTTATGCGGCTCTGCTCCCTCCGGTGCCGCCTCGCTTCCTCTAGCGCCGGCTTAGTTGGCACCGCTGATTCTCTCCCGCGGCTCTTTAAGTTCCCCCTTATGCCACCACCGGCCCTGGGAATGGTCACAACTAGGTGTTATTTTCGGGGTAGGTCTTATTTTCAGGGACTGTATTTATACAGTCCGCACTGCTGCTGGATGGATAATATGTGCTATAAACATTTTTTAGTATTGGGCTGCATGTTGTTTTTATTACTATTAGTATTTGGACTAACACAGTCAGCAGAGACATATGGGCAGGGCAGGGTGTTTTCACATACGATTGCACTATTAGCGCCGGTGTGTAATTTTTGTTGGTAATAATATTGTTGTTGCTTCTATTATTGGTGTAAACCTAATTGTCATTGTAATTATGCAATCGCTGCTAGGATTGCGGCTGAACCAGATGTTCACAGATGGGACTGGGCTATCTGAATGACATGTGCTCTGCGCACTTTGTGCCCAGGGCCAGATTTTCCACAAGGCCAACCAGGGCCCGGCCTTGGGGCAGCAGGGAGTAGAGTGGCAGCAGGGGTGTGGGATTCCTATCTCCCGATGCCCGGGACATGCCGGGCGTGTAGTTGTAAATGTACAGCGGGAAGCCGCCGCTTGTTGTGGACAAGTGATCCTGGTGATTTCGCCGAGATCACATGTATGCA